TGGGCCATCCGGCTCACTGCAGCCTCAACCCTGGGCTTAAGTGATCCTCCTACCTCATGCCTCCCCAAAGTACGGGACTACAAGCAATGCACCCATGCATGCCCCAGCTAATTTGTTAAATTTTTGTGGAAGGGGCCACACTCTATGCCGGAACTGACTCCAAACTCCTGTTCCTCAAAGTGATCCCCTCCCACCTCAGCCCTTCCGAGTAGCCTGGGACTTGACAGGCATGCCCACACGTATGCTCAGCTAATTTTTAATTTTGTGAAAAGGGTCTGCTATATGCTGGACTGGTCACAAACATCCTGGGTCTCAAGTAATCCTCCCACCTCAGTCCTCCAAAGTGCTGGCATTACAGGGGTGTAGCCACCACACCTGGCCCGTTTGGCAACAGTGCTCACGCCTGTAATCCCAGCACTTTGGAGGCCAAGGCCGGCGGATCACATGAGATCGGGTTTCAAAGGCCAGCCTGGCCAACACAGAGAAATCCCGTCTCCTACTAAAACATGAAATTACCTGGGCATGGTGGTACATGCCTGTAATCCCAGCTACATGGAAGCTGAGGCAGGAGAATTGTTTGAACCCGAAGCAGAGATTGTAGTGAGGCAAGATATGCCCACTGCATCCAGCTGGGCGACAGAGCGAGACCTCTGCAAAAACAAGGAAGAGAAGCTTGTCCCTGAGGTTTGTGCAGTCAGGACTTCAGGGTGTGAATTAACACGCGGCAGCAGTTGGGTCCTAGACTTTCTTCGGATTTCTAACTTGTTGCATTAATTTCTTCTCATGGGAAGAGTCCCTGAGCCATCCCAGAAAGACGGCTGGACTTGGGAACTAAGATCCCATCCGCAGGCCTGACGCCCTCAGGGTCCCTTTTTATTAAACAGGAGCTGTGGCCGTCATCCCCCTTAAGTTTTTTGTATTTGGTTATGTTTTTGGAGACAAGGTCTCCCTCTTCGCCAGGCTGGATGGCATGGTGCAATCACCGTTCACTGCAACCTTCTGGGTTCAAGTATTTTCCTTCTCAGCTTCCCAGGTAGTTGAGACTAACAGCCATGCACCACCATGCCCAGCTAATTTTGTTTTGTTTGTTTGTTTGTTGTTTGTTTTTGAGACGGAGTCTCATCTGTCGCCAGGCTGGAGTGCAGTGCGCGATCTTGGCTCACTGCAAGCTCTGCCTCCGGGTTCATGCCATTCTCCCTGCCTCAGCCTCCGAGTAGCTGGGACTACAGGCACCCGCCACCCGCCCAGCCTATTTGCCAGCTAGTTTTTTGTATTTTTTAGTAGAGACGGTGTTTCACCGTATTAGCCAGGATGGTCTCGATCTCCTGACCTCGTGATCCACCCATCTCGGCCTCCCAAAGTGCTGGGATTACAGGCTTGAGCCACCGCGCCCGGCTCCATTTTTGTATTTTTATAAAAGGTTTTTTACCTGAAGCAGGGGAAAGGAGACACAGGATAATCACTGCTTTTCAACTAAAATGGTTTTATTGAGATGTTTTGGTTGGAGGAGATACTTTTTCTGGCAGCATTTCTGACTCAGAAGGTCCCTCTGGGCCCCTGCTCTTCCCATGAGACAGTCATATTACTGTCTAATCAGCTCTGCAGAGGCCAGCCCTGGAGCAGAGGAGGATTCTGGGCCATGGAGGAGACCTACTCCGCCCCGTTCTGGTCACTACTTCTCTAAACTCTCACGCACTATTGTCCATAGCAAATGACATTTCCACTGAAAGCGCATAAAGATGGCGACAGCCTTATTTCTTCCTCAGTGAACTGAAGCCCAAAGAAAGGGGAGGTCCCACTAAAGGGGAAGAGAGCCAGGGCCCCGCCCAACCAGGATGCTGAAATTAACTACATGTAATGCTTTCTAGGAGACAACACAGAAATCTCTACTCTGAAATCCAGAATATTAAATATGGCTCCCCCTCTATAAGTTAACTGGAGACGCTTATCAATCCTTTAAGACCCCAGCAACCAACAATAGCAATTAGGAATCCAAATTCATAGCACAAAAGGACACAGATACCAGTGTTGGACAATGGTTTTGGTATGGGGACAGGGCGACAGCTTATCCTAAATCCTACACATCCATCCATACCAGGAGCCGGGTTACCCTCGGTACCAGGTGCCTGCCCCACAAAGCCCGGGTTGGGAGAGGGCTTGGTGGCAGGGCTGCAGCTCCTGTGGGTAACTGTCCTTTCCCGGGCTGTGCGCGCCTGGCCATGTGGTCCTCAGGGTGGCTGGTTCTCCTTCCAGGAGCAACCATGGCAGGGGCTTAAAAGTTGAGTAGCTCTGGGAAATGGTCCTTGGAAAGCAGCGACAGGTCCATGAGCACAATAGTCCCTCTTCACCTTGACTCCTTAAATGAAGAGGAAAGTTTGTAGAAGGAGGTTTGCCTTGATCCGTATTTTGTTCCTGAGAACCAGAACCACTGGTTTGGGGCAGCTCACAGCAGCTCAACCTCCTAGACTCAAGCTGTCCTCCCACCTCAGCCTCCGAGTAGCTGGGACTACACGTGTGCACCACTACACCTGGCAAATTTTTGTATATTATGTGGAGATAGCGTTTCGCCATGTTGCCCACCCCTGTCTCCACTGCTGCCACCCCTGGCCCAGATGGCACCAGTGCCTGGGTCCTTCCTGGGCTTCCTGTACCCACTCTCCCAGTACCCATTTGTCTGCCCAACAGCCAGAGAAATTGAATTAGAAACATCCAGCCAGTCTTTTGTCCAAAACCTTCCCATTGGCCGGGCGCGGTGGCTTACGCCTGTAATCCCAGCACTTTGGGAGGCTGAGGTGGGCCAATGACCCTGAGGTCAGGAGTTCCAGACCAGCCTGACCAACATGGCGAAACCCCATATCTACTAAAAAAAAAT